AAAAAACACTTACAATGGATATTTATCATTAGCAAACATATATGCCATTTTTAAAAATATGTATCCAGTACAATACGAATCCCATCCTGCATTATGAAAATTCTCTGTATGTGAAATAAATAATTAGAATGATAAATAATACATTTGGAAATAAATAAAATAGATGATGAAATATTGATTGAAACAATCTTATAACTTTATAAATTACTTGATGTGTTGTTTGTGTCATCTGCTATATGTGGAAAACTTTTTGCCAAGTTATTAAAATAACAATAAATAGAACCAAGTGAACTTAAAACCTGTATTTCTGAAAAATAACAAACATTATTATTATTATTATTATTATTATTAAAGCTAATAATTGTGTAATATAAATTTCAAATTATTACCGTATTTTTCTTTCACTTGGTGAAATATATATTTAGTATCGTAAATAATAGGAAACAAATGATTTACTTCAGTCTTGAAGTCACAATATCTTTCTAGAATATAAAATATCACACACAAAGTACTATTATATTATAAACTATAAATTTGTGAAATTATTGAAATAAAAATAAATATATATATATTTACTTGGTAAAGGTTTGTAAAATAATTTATACATAAACATTAAATCAAGTAAAATATTATGTCCAATGATAGGTTTCTTTAATTCTACCAAGAGTTTAAATACGTTTGAAAATCCTACATACGAATTTAACAAAGCATGTTCTAAACTTTGTTCTTTTTCATTTTCTAACATTTTTCTAACATCCAATGATATTTTAATTACTTGTACCTACGATGAAAAGATAAACAACAAATATGAATAATTAATACAATCATATTTATATGGAATAATAAATTACAATTGTTTAAATATACCGTTTGCTTATTACATATGGTCCAAATATTTTGAAAACGTTCTCTCAAAGTTTTCTGTAAAAAGTATTGAAATTTATGAGAAAATGCGGGAATAGTGTAAATTTCTTTTTCATTCAAATCTTTTAACCATTCAGCTATTAAAGAACTGTAAAGATTAACATCATCTTTTTCTTGATATGACATACTATCTTCAACATTTTTGTAAAACGTATCATTTTTCCACTGTTCATTTAGCATAGCTTCTTCAATTTGATTTAGGTATGAGATACCATGATTAACTACCTATTATTATTAAAAATATCATTAATAATTAATTATTAGAATATAATATGTGAGATAACAAATTTTATATTACAAACCTTATTAAAATTAAAAGAGTGATAAGATAAAAATTCTATTACTGAAATTTGCCATGAGATTATTTTATTCTTCGTAAAAACAGATGTAGGTAGAAGATAAAATTCGTAAGATTTTGAAATATATTCATTTTTATCTTGGATTCTTTTTAAAACAGTAATACCAAATTGTATAATTATAAATGGTTTAAGGGTATTTCGTAAATATTTGTATCGTTCTTCTGTAGTATCAAACAGACTGTAAAAGATAATAACAATGTATCATGTAAAATGATTTTTTTATATCAATATAATTATTGATTTAAATAGATATTAAAAAAAAAAAAAAAAACTAAAATAATGACAATTATTAACAATAAAATATTTCATAATAATACATAATAAATAAATGTAATAAAAATGATATGATGTAAAATGACTGTAAAGATAACCATTGACTTACAATTTGATATGAATTCATAAAATATGCAATAATAATAATAATAACAAATGTCATTAAATTCAATATATAATTAATAAATGTGCATTATTTGAATAATTATTTGAATACACTTGAATAATTTCACATGCCTGATGGGGCTAACCTTATTTTTGAAATTTCATCACAATCCAAGCCAGTAAATTCTGTATCAATGGCAATCACATCTGCATTTTCTAAATCATCTTTTAATTGTGGATATATTTCTGCGAAATTTTCTTTCGTAACTTCAATCATAATAATGATTTATTTACAATAATTATATGATCATTATATATTAAAATTAAGTTTATAAAACTAGAGTTTTTTTCAAAAATGTTGTCTTTTAACACTTTGACTACGAAAGACGTCCAGAAGCGCCCTCTACATTTTTCTTTCGGTAATATCTTGACTGTATAGTAATCATTGTTGTAACCTTATAGTCTATTATTACCATCCGCGAGTAAAAAAAGATTATCATTTAATTACCAATTTTATTTGAGTAAAAAAGAAACTAGACGAGTGTCTGCCATTTATCGCGGGAATTTTAAAATGCAAGTTTATACTTTGCTGCAGTGATGTACTTTTGTTTAACGTTAGTATTGTATAAATTATTTAAGAAACAGAGAAAGACTCTAATAATCATTTCAATATATTTTCTATTAATATTACGATGAAAATAATCCTATCGATTATGGGAAATCTTAAAAATGCCACAACCCTGCTTACGAGATACACACAAAGTAAATCAAAAGAAACCGGACACCTAAATATCTGTGTGAGATTTAAAGATACAAAGTATCTAACAGAATTAGAATGGCTTCACAAATTACTTACACAATGATTATAATATTATATTTTTTGCGTTTTCAAGGTCACAAACATCTTTTTAAATGGAATTGCATATTTCTTTTCTATACATAATTACAGTCAACATTTAACAAGTTCAATAATATCAAATATTGATTTGCTTTATTTTTGTTATGCTAAATGTTCAGAATATAATTCTAATATAGAGTTTACAGTTTAGAAAATTAATATAATTTGTTAAATAAAGAAAATTATCAGTTCCATGCAATGATCATTAAATTTTCATTTGCCATTTTATATTTTACATTGAAATAAATGTTTGGACCTTTTAATTTAATAAGCATTTATTCACGCATTCATAGAACATACATACATTTTAACATGACTTTCCATACATTGATACACATAACGCACACATGCTTGATTACATGATTTATATTCATCTAATTATGCCTTTACTTCTAGACCATAGTCTTGCATTAAAAGCGATATCTATTGCAATAATAAGTACATGATTTTGCATTAAGAACACTTTTGTCTTATTATCAGTATTTTACAAGAAATTAATGAGTAAGAAAAAGGATAAAGCTGTAGGAATGTATCTTGATATAAAATAATGTTATTATTTTGGGCCAATCTATAAAAACAGACTTCAAACATTATCTAAGTTTGATGAAACATCTTGAATTTTGCTTTTAATACTTGATTTAGCTTATTTTTTACCTTTACAGTATGTTTTTTCTTAATGCAATCCAATTACATTTATACAATACTGAAAGTTTAAAAATACGTGTCATCATTATATTGACTAGGCAGTACCAATATAAGTTACAGTCCCAATTAATTAGCAATAGCTAAAAATGAATGATATTTTCGGGACACTTATTTTTTCTTTCACATTCAAGGGATTACATGGCAATGCAGACTTCCGCCTATTTTTTTTTTTTTTTTATAACTATCACTTATCTCTATTATTTAATCTTATAATAATGCTTAATGCGTATCCTTAAATTCATTTTTTTTCCCATGGTCTGACTAGATTTTACTAATTTTCTCATTCTTGTTTCTGTCGATTTGTAGTATTACCATTTATATTTGACAAATCACCATTCGATTGACGATTTTTTGCTTGCTGTCTCAATTGTGCTCTTTTTAGATTTGTCATCAATTGACTGGATTGATATAACCAACTGGCCTAAAACATTGAAAACAATTGATAAGAATCAACATATAAAATTGTTTTATTTAACAATTAATACAAATTAGTTATACTTACCACCATGATCATGCAATTCATCAAGATAGGTGCAGAAAAAACTATCGATATAAATAATCCTTGAGAATCGAAGTACTGTTGTCTCGAGAAAACCCTATAAGAAGAAATAGCATAAGAAATAAATAATGAAACATAGATTGAATAAACTTATGAATTCGAATGCTTACATCCAATTTGTTGCAGCAACTTCATTGATGGTTTCCGTGAAGTAAACAAGAAGTACTGAAAATACAATCAATAGTATTAACATTGATAATGATATATGAATCACTTATTTGCCAAATCAATTAACTCCATAAATCAAAAAGTAAAAGTCAAATAGATAGAAGTATAGAAGAATAGATGATAAAGTAATATACATTGTTGTAAATAATTTATTATTGCATGATTATAAAATATCAAACATTATTATGACAATAAAATTGAGTGAGTGAAATTTTTGAAAAGGAGTTAATCGTTCTGTTCATTTCATTATTATTACGTAGTATAATATTAATACTAAGATTTTACTATTTACTCACGAAGTACAAGGAATAAAATTATTTGAAAATTAGCATGATTTCGTGTCATTAGTGCTGTCATTGTAACAGCAACATGAAAAGTTAATAATAAAGCTAGCCATGGATCTCTCCAATCAATCTGTAAAAAGGAAAATTATCAATAACAAGAGAAATTGATAGGGTTAATCATTATTTATAAAGTGCATTTTGTTATTCGATAGATTTAATCAAATGAAACCCAAAAAAAAAAAAAAACAAGAAACATAGAATAAGACAAAAGTTAAAGAGATCATTATTAAAAATATAATAATGAAAACATTAAAATATTATAAAATCATTGTCATATAATTGTATCATCATATTTTTCATCAATATTTCAATCTTTAATATTATCTACAAATCAAAAAGTTAATATAAATGAATAGAAACATATCAAATGAAAGTATATACTTGAAATGAAAAAATATGAAGTAACAGAGCCTGATTTTTTTTTTTTTGTAATGAATCGAGGTCTTATTATCGTCGAGACATATTTTAATGACAGTGGCATAATGATAAATCATGATGACGAGCAAATTACGACGTATCAATAATAATCAATGCATGTGCATAATGAAATTATCGTTAAGTATTATTTGAACTGCTTATGGTGATGGTACAATAATGATTAGAAAATAAAAATGTTAAATAATAATCATAATGATAAAAAACGATGATGGTGATGATGATGATGATGAAAATAATTAAAATAATTAAATGTAAGAGTTTAAAAGATTAGAAAATAGTGAAGTAACTTTAGCACTATCACCTTTCGCTTTCGAGAATGACGAACGTGATAAAGAAAGACATAGAGAGAGAGAGAGAGAGAGAGAGAGAGAGAGAGAGAGAGAAAAGGAGAAAGAGAGGGAGAGAGTGAGAGAGAGGTAGAAAGAGAAATAACAAGTGAAAGTGGATACAAATAAACTTACACTCTTTAAAAATGGCCAGATGCCGTCGATCATGTCCGTGGCTATGGGATCCGACATCGTTTTTCGCGAATTATTTGGACCGCGAAGAAGAGAAAGGCGCACATTCGCAAAATTGCACGTTTATCCTCCTCTACCTCCTTCTCCTTCGTCACCACTACCACCACCTCCTCCTCTTCCTCTTCCTCTTCTACTGCTTCTTATATTCTCCTACTTATTTTTCTTGTTTACTCTTTAGCCTCTAAACGAATACACTACGCACGAAAAATACAAAAAATACCTGTATATGTATATATATATATATATATAAAAAAACTAATGTATTATCTCTTAAACAAATCACAGAGATGCAGTAGATAATAAGCACGAATGATCTAAGGCAAATAAATAATAATGCATAAATATGTTTTTTTAATGAACGATGGAAATAAGAACGTTTATTTCTTTTTTACATATATCGGTATAACCGGTATGAATTGCAAAGAATGAGGGTAAAATGACGTTTACATTACCGACGTTGCCTATATTGACACCAGTCTATGCCGATGTTATACGATGAAAGGATTCTCCTCTTTTAACAATATGTCGGAACACTTCGGTTATCTTCGAGAAATTTCGTTGATCTTTCATGATATTCATTGAATCTCGCGCCACGATACTATTGCTCTCTTGTGGTTATTATGTGAATTTGATTTTACATTAGTCGGTATTACAGTCATCGTTGTTATCAATTGCGATTAGTTACCATCAATATGTTGACGAGTAGACATGGAGTTCCAGCGCGTATCTCATTTTTCGGTGGAAAAATGAAATGAGAAAGATTTAAAAAGAATATATTTGGAAAGATATGATTTATCATATATATAAATAATGATATTTCTAATACAAGTTTTTTATTCGTATTAACACATTTCTTCCTATTTGTTCATAAATGAAATAAATAATTATAAATTAGTTTCTTTAAATGCAACAGATAAAAGTATTAATTTTTTACGAAACTACAATTTAAATGTAATTAAAAAGAAATATTACGATTTTATTTTTGAATATTAAAACTTGACTTTAACCTTTATATAATTATCTGTCATCATAAAACGATAAGAATTTATTATTACAATTTGTTGTACTTTGTATTCATTAGTCTGTTACTTTTTGTTATCATATTACTCATTTCATTCGCATTTGATGAAACATTAATAAACAAAAATATAAAATGAATTGTAAAAAAAAGAGAAAAAGTGATCGTTAAAAACAATGTATGTAATTTATTTATGTTATGGAAATTTAAAAAAAGGCAAGTATATTTAAAGAAATTCACGGCCATATTTGAAATATACTATTATTTAACTAATGCGTCTGGGTTTGTTTCAACTCGTTTCTTTATTAGTTAATTTTATGAAATAACATTTGCATTCATATTTAAAAATAAATTCAACGATGGCTAAACAAACATTGCTTAGCAGTCGACATGTTATGTAGTCTCTTTCAAATATTATTTTCATTCATTCGATTACTGTATAATATAATAAGTTAATATAAAACATTGCTTGTGTTCTTTCATTAAAAATCCATTTATATAAAAGAAAAGTGTATTTTAATCAATTGGTTAATGAAAGCGTTTGATTATTCTTTTTACATGGAAGAATATCGACAGTTTTTAATTTTTTTTTTTTTTTTTACATCATATCTTCAATGTCTTACTAGAAGAAGGCTGATCGAAAAAAAAAAAGGAAAACAAAAAAGCGATAAAGAGAGAAGAGAATGAAACATCAAAAGAAACATGTCTACTAAGAAAGAAGCATAAAGTTCAAATCGATGAGTATTAAATATTTGTTTATCAAAAGTGTAAGTACAAAGACAATACTAATAATAATAATAATAATCATAATTATAATATCATTATTTACAAGTGTTAAAAAAAGATTAAAAGAACATAATTGTTTGATTGTTGTCCAAAGAACATTTACCATAATCGCTAGAAGCAATGTTGTCATATCGAAATATTGTAACTTTGTCGTTTGGACTTTGATTGGTCAAAGATTATATTATAATGGCGGAAGCAAGAAGAAGCTTTCTCGGTTTTACAGAACGATTTGTCAACTCAGATACAGTTCGATCTTTCTTCTGTAAGGGTGTATACTTCTCATTGCTTCTTCGATTTATCATAAAGTATTAACCATAGTGAAAGTTTTAGTTGGAGAAAAGAACAAATATAAGTTTAATTGTTAATTTTTTTTTATTAAAAAAAAAAAAAAATATATTATTATTATTATTATTATTTTGAAAAATGTCTTTCGAATTGGATGAATCCCCCATCGATGAGGAGACTAAGGCTATTGCCGTCAAAGAACTCAGGGAAACTGAGGAAAATGTACAAAAGGGTATCGAGACACTGAGAAAGTACATTGAAGGTAAATAAAATATTTATTTTATAAAACAATTAAAATTAATTAATAATAATTGAATAATCAATTATTCAAATGTCAGATAATTTGATTGGAAAAGATAAAGAAGACCTGTGTTATACTTTCGAATGTTGTATGAAATTCGTTGAGATACATACAAATGTTCACTTTAACTATAATTTTAATAATCATATCATTGATTTAATTTAAAATTTTAGTAAATATCTTTTTTTTTTTTTATACGGTTTATATCTCAAAGATTAACACATCAACACTCAATATTTTCGGAATTTAGGGGTCACGAATATCTCAGATAAGAACGTTATTATCAAGTTTTCTTCTTTTCTCTGTAAATAACACTTGTACACTTGTAAAATTTTGTCTTTATAATAAAGAAATTATTCACTTTTTATTTTTTTTAAATAAATAAATAAAATTTAGTTATTTTTATCACAAAATGAATAAAAAAAAAAAAAAAAAAAAATGACGATTGTATGTCTGTAAAAAAACATATTCTAACAACCAATATTTTGTAACATTAACAAAGTATTAATGTATTATCTTGCATTGTGATAAGACATTTGCAATTAATCTATAATTGAAGATGATCATTAAAAAAATTGATAAAGTTTAATTAGTTAACTTTGTATTAATAAACAATATAAAAACATTCCATATATTCGATACTTAAAAGATAAAATTATTATTATCAGATAATTAAATGTAATTTATTGAAAAAGTTAGATTTAAGTTTTATTTCATTTAAATTTAAGTATTATGTAATTGAACTTCATTTTCTTCTTTTGGTTGTTTTTTTTTTTCTTCTTCTTCTTTTTTGTATTCATATTACATACGAAAGAACGTATAAATATTTTTTTATTTTTTTTTTGTAAATTTCCCCTAATTTTCCTAATTAAGGATAATTTTCGAAGAAGAGTCCAGGAAACATTTTCAAACACGCAATGATTATTTTACATCCGCTTAAAATCCGAATATCATTTCTGTCGTTGTTTATTTCATTTCAATTTCATTCATTTCAATTTCATTCATTTCAATTTCAGATTAATTCAATATTTCTATTTTTATTTCTTTTCTTTTTTTTTTTCAGATGATGAAACGTTACATTTCAAAACGGACGATGAATTTCTTATAATATTTCTACGAGTATGTAAATATTATCCTAAGAGTACATACGAATTGATAAAGAGAATCGCTGATTTTAAATTAAAAAATGCTTCTCTTATAAACAATTTAATGCCGGCCGATGAAAAAGTAACATTACTTGAGCACAATGTCGTAAATGTACTTAAAGGTAGAGATGATAAAAGACGAAGAGTTTTAATACTTAATGTTGGAAAATCATGGGATCCATCGAAAGTCAGTGCCGATCAAATATTTCGAGTACTTTATCTCATTCATATAGCTGCCATTTATGAACCTGAAACTCAAGTATGATTATGATCATTTATATTCTTTTTTACTATTGTTTATTTTTTTTTCTTTCTTTCTTTCTTTAATTAATTTCAACTGTAAACTTTGTATTTTGTTTATTAGGTACGTGGTTCAGTCGTAATAATGGATTTTGATGGTCTCTCGATGAAACAAGTGATGGGATTGACACCGTCATTTAGCATGAGACTTTTAACTTTTATTCAAGATGCTGTACCAATGCGATTAAAAGAGGTTAGATGCATAATTCAATTGAATATATATATATATAACAATATTATTTAATTTACTGTAAATTATGAACAAAATTTAATAATAATAATAATAATAGTAATACATATATTATTGATGTGTCTTAGGTTCATATTGTAAAACAACCATTCATCTTCAAAATGGTCTGGAAAATGTTTAGTCCATTCGTTCGTGAAAAACTGAACAAGCGTTTGTATTTCCACGGTACGAATATGTCTGAATTGCATAAATGCATAAGTCCTAGTCATCTACCAAAAAATTATGGTGGCCTATTACCAGAAATTGATTACAAAAGCGCTGATTGGTATCCAACTATTATTAAATACGAAGATAGAATAAGAGGTAATTGTTTTCAATCAAATTCATTTCAATATTATTAATTTATTAATATTATTTATAATAATAATAATAATAATAATAATAATATTAATATTAATATCATTATATTATTATATATAATTATTTTCTTAATATAATATAATATACTTAATATATATTATAAATAATATTATTCTATATATATATAATATTAAAATAATAGTTTCAAATAAATTCATTTCAATATTAATAATTTATTAATATTATTTATAATAATAATATTAATATTAATATCATTATATTATTATATATAATTATTTTCTCAATATAATACAATATACTTAATATATATTCTAAATAATATTATTCTATATATTAATAATATTAAAATAATAGTTTCAAATAAATTAATTTCAATATTAATAATTGATTAATATTAATCATTTATTAGACTTAAATTTATAATTATATATTAATATTAATAATTGATTAATACAAGCTAATATTATTATCTCTTGAATTTTGTATTTTCTTTAATAATATATTTTGTGTTTTATTTTTTCAGAGTGGAACACGTTTGGATATCGCAAAACTGTATAATTTCAGTCTCGTAGAATATTTTTCTTTTTTTTTTTTTTCTTTTTTCGAACACATACACATACACATTCAAGACTGGAATGTTTTCTTTTTAATTGTAGTTAAATTAGAAAATTAAACGATTAAGATTATAGATCTTGTTCAAAGTTTTACTCGAATTTTATATTATGTATTATAATTCATGATATATTGTTGTTGTTTTTTTTTTTTTTTTTTTTTTTTTTTTAAATAAAATTTGTCTATCATAAAAATAGTTTTGTTAAATGTCATTCACACATTCGTAAATGCAAATCTATATATCGTAGAAATATTTAATTATATAAATAAATATAGAATTGAGAGTAATGAAACATAATTTTGTAATTGTAGTAAATTTATATGCTGAATAACATATAATGTATAATACATTATGATTAATGCAAAATACGTGTTTTTATTTGTTTAGACAATTAACAATTTTATGAGAACAAGACTGCGAATATTTATACACGATAAATTTGCAAAAGAACATATATAATATTTATATACAATAAAAATAATCAAAAGTGCATAATAATTATACACACGTATATGAGTATGTAATATTAAACAATTATAAATGATTTATAATTATTGTATTATTGTTATTAGAATTACACGATATTACAATTATTTTGTTCACAATTGAGTAGCGTTAGTTGATAACATTAATTGGTAAAAATTAATTTGTAAATCGAATATAATTACATCATATGATATTATGTTATCAGTGCATATGTGAATTTATATAAGCAATGTTTTTACAAATGAAAATTATGATATATATATATAATTGATATTATTCAATAATATATAAGAAAACTAAAACATTATTAAATATTTAGTAAAAATTAAAAAATTATAAGTATTTTTAATTTACTAATATTCATTATTTACAATTTATTAAAAGTTACAGACTACTTTTCACTTATACTGAATATGTTTTTTTTTTCAAAATTTTATTACAATATTAACCTTTTGCACTGTCCAATGATAATCTATAACTTCATCGTCATCGTTGTAATCAAATCTAAAAGTAACTCTTTATATTTTTATATGTTTCAAAATGAATCTATTAAAATATCAGAAAGTGATGATGAACAAGAAGTTATGTTATACGGTAATAATTTGACTGAAATTAATGATTGACAGTAACGACAACGATATAATAGTTTATCAAAGTGATGCAGATTGAATTTGACACCAGTTAGTTGACACCATAAAACTCTTCTATGAAAAAAGAAAAAAAAAATGATCTTCTATAAATGTACGCTAGTTAACGTAAAATTAGTATTTAGTAGATTATATTAAAAATTATTCGTAGTACGAAGGATTAATAATTATTAAAATATATATTAATATTTTATTCTTCAACGTAGCAATGAATATCAAATGAAATTTTCAGAAATGTTTTCACATTGTGATTACAATTCACATTGTACAATTTTTTTTTTTTCTTTCCTTTCTTTTCATACTTATTATTTCATTTTTATATCAATATTTTTCAATATAAATACATTAGACATACAACTGATGACGCTTATCGGCGGCTTATCGATGCTCATTTTTGAGATTGTGGGACCAAAGTATCACTGCTGCAGCACATTTATATTCTTGACAAGTTATATATCTTTTATTACTTTTATAGTTAAATAAAAAGTAGATACTACGACTACTTTTTTTATATTATAATAAAATATTGAATATATTGAAAATAACAAATATTAACTTTTAACTGGTAGTAAAAATTATTATTATTATTATTATTAGTTTGTTACATCAATTCGTGACGAATAATTGTTAAGTAACATTTAGACTATGACTTGACAGTAACGACTAAGAATTAATTAATTTACGTACATGTATGCGTAGTCTGAAAACAAAATTTAAATGGTGATTGAATTTCAAATGTTTATATTCAACAGATATATATATATATATATTATCTATATCTATATATGTTTCAATAATTCATCAAATCTAATGAATGTACTTTGATATACAAATATATACAGAATAATAAGACAAAAGATTCGTAATTAACAGGTCTTATATTACTCAATACAAAGATTAATAATAGCTTATTAAAATAAATTTTACAACTAATTATTACTAATTGAAATTAATTATAAAAAAAATGTTACTAATGTTTCAATTAATCACAATTTCACTTGAAATAACCTGTATACCACTCAAATCGCTGATACTATCACAAAATATCTTAGTAATCTTATCTCATCATCTAATCCATATTTACACATATACAGGGTGGGACAATATCTATGTCCAGTTTATTATTTAATTATATTTAATTACTTTAATTACTTAATTATAGAGTTAATAATTATTAGCTTTGCTAATAGTATACTTAACTTTCCAAATCGTTGACAACGGGTTCTACACAACTACTAATGATTACCTTAAAGGACAGTAACAGGTGGAAACATGTAACATCTTTTGTATCGGTTGTGAATAAATAGTTGGCACTATTTAAGTTTAAACCTACGTATAAGGAGAATGTAACAAAATGTATTGTTCCAATATCAATTCAAATCAATTACAAAAATATAATGAAAAATGTATAAAAAAAAAAGCGCAATAAAATGTGCGCATCTAATTGTTTAGAATAAAATGGAGAAACATTTCGATGACCTTCATTTAATATTAATAGTGTAAAAAAAAAATATATATATAAGGTTTCATTGAAAAAAATGCAGGTAACCTTGAAATCTTCTCAATGCCTCCATCCACGCAAAAAACGTTCAAGCCAAAAAATGCCCCTCCTCATCGTGACGTGTAACTTGCGTATATAACATTTTTCATATTGTTATAAACAACGACAATATTCTAATTGGACAGAGATATTGTGGCCCACATCATGTATATATTAAATATAAGTATACAATTTATACGATGCATTATTAAATACTAAAAGTTAATTTAACAAAGAAACGGTTCATTTTTCATTGTATGTTAATACAAGATACTTTTTGCTTTATTCAATGAATACTAAATAAACAATTTAATTTATAAACTCTTTTTTATATATAACTCTATATGTAAGATTTAACTTACATTACATTGTACCTTTTGTTGACTCATCTAACTCATCTTAAATGTATTTTTTGCTGATATATATATATATATATATATATATATATATATATATATATCATCATATATATATATATATTTATCGGTTATTAGAGAGCATGGCTTACATAAAGCATTAAACGTGCGCAGTATATACGACGTTTGCGAGTCGTTTTATTTTTCTATTAATAATTAGATGAATTAATTATCATACATTAAAAATTTGACATTTTGACCACAATTTAAATAATATTGCTCAATGTATCATTAAAATACGACAAAGACGCATTCTTATAAAGGAAAAGTTTTTAGTAGAACAAAAGTGGGGAATGTCTTCCAATATAAATATACCACGAGTTTGAATATTAATGATTTTAATAAACGAGTTTCCAAATAGTCTTACTTTAGTGTTGAACTCGAAGAGTTGACTTTTCCTTTCTAAAGAGCAAAGTGATTAGAAAGTCTCTGAAATATTTGTTCAATAGGAAAGCAGTTAGTCGTTTGATTTTTCTTATTTATTATTGATAAGTGTCATGTTAACTTAATTGATTTAATTATAACGTTTTTTTGAGTTAATTTACAGATTTAAAAAAGATCATCTTGTAAGTAGATATATTGAATTTACGATACGATACGATACGATACGATAAATTAATGTAATAATTGAAATCTTTAATTAAAAACGAATTGTCGAATAATAAAAGACAAAAGTTGGATAAAATATTGATTATATATATATATATATATAGAATTTTCGCGGAAATTTTCATTTGTCTATAAATCAGATATAAATTAGTATCATTTAAATGTAACAGATGTGTAAAATATGAATAAATATATGTTTATATTATTGCATCGTTAGGAAATTCGTATAGAAAAGAATAATAGAAATATAAAATGTCGTGTTCAATGGAAAAAGAAAATGATCAAAGTAAAGAGTTACGAGATGAATATCATTCGCAAACTAAAAGTGACGACGACTCGAAAGATGATTTGTCCAATAATTTAGTGAAAAATACGAAATTAGAATTAAATGCACTGATAAAAAAAGCGGAAACCTTACCAAAATTAATAGCCTATGGGGAGGAAACGCAACTGATACTTAGTTGCAATGACGAATATAAAAAAAAAGCCGAGACTGAACTTCGCGAGACACCAGAAGTAGTGGCTGAAAGTTTGAAAATTATTCGAGAATTGGTAAAAGGTAATATAACGTTTTGATGATTTATTTCTTTAGAAAGAAAGACAAACATTTTCTCTACAAAATATTATTTATAATCATTTTAAAGTGAATTAACAATAAGTCGAAAAGAACAAAAAACAACAAATGAACAAATTTATTTTATGAATTATCGTAACTGAGGAGTGATTAGATTGATTATCGTGAAAAAATGAACGATAATTAAAAATAAAGATTATCTTCGATTAATCGAAGATAACGAAGACACAGTAAACAATTGAATGTTAAATAAAAAAAAGATAAAAAAAATAAAAAAAGAAGATCATTGAATAATCAGTGTAAAAGTGCTTTTATACAATTTTTTATCTTCCATTAATTAAATCACATTTTTAAGTGTACCATTTTATTATTATCATGTGCCATTTTCGATCTCTCTTTATTATCTTCGTTTATTACATACATAAAGTGCTTAAAATGGTAATGTATTTTTATATTTATAAAGATCTTATTTTTCGTAATACAACAAGTATAAAGTTTTTATATATATATATATTAGGGGTAGCAAAAAGTAATCAAAATTTAGTCGATGAGTACACTCACATTTAGTTTGTGTCAATGAAATAATCGAAGAACTTTGTAAAAAGGAAATAGAAAAAGCAAAAAGTGTTTCTTCATGATTAGCATGGTTAATTTGTTTTAATAAATAAATGTTTGTTCGTCAAGAAAGAAAAATTTTCATTACATTTTGATTAATCAAAATAATGAATTCAATTTAATAGAAGAAATAGTCTCATAGAAATATTTCTAATAAAATTTGATTTATCTAGGTGAGAGCGATTTGTTTGTACCAGATTTGGATGAATTTTTCGCAAGATTTTTACGACCATGCAAATGGTATCCGAAAAGTGCGTTTCGTTTGGTAAGTTAACTTCCTTTCTATAATATGTTGATCACTTTTTCTGACAATTTCAATTTCTAAATTTTTATTCCTCATTCATTTTCTTTTTTTTTTTCTTTTTTTTATCATTCAATATAGATGCAAAGATATTATCGGTTCCGTATAAATTATCCATACATAATGGAAAATATGGCGATAACGAGTTTAAAGAAAACTTTTGACTCGGAATTATTTATGCCTTGTCCAATACGTAGCGTCAAAGGTTGCAGAATTTTTATTATACACGCTGGATCAAAATGGAAACCAAAAGAACATTATATCTACGATATTTTTAAATGTCTTATAATACTTTTAGAAGGAGCTATTACAGAACCTCACACACAGGTAAATGGCTAATTCTAAAAGATTACAGACAGATGTTGTATAAAACATCTATCTGTAAGTTTTGAATTGCCTATTTTTCTACAGATTGCTGGAATAGAAATAATATTTGACATGAATGGATTACCATTCAGTCATGTGCCTCATATAACACCAAGATTTGCTGCTATGTTAGCGGAGTTTACTCAAAGATGTTTACCCATTCGTTTGAAGAACGTTCATATCGTCAATCAACCTTTCATATTCAATATGGTTTATGCTGTGTTTAAACCATTCCTTTCGGTAATGAAACAACAATAATATACGTGTTGAGAAAAATTCGAATATTTTCTTCAATTTTCATTATTTCACGTTCGTCGATATTTTGTCTATTTAGGAAAAATTACGTAACAGGATTCACTTTCACGGTACCAATATGACAAAATTAATAAGTATGGTAGGTGAGAAAGCGTTACCTAAAGAATATGGTGGTTCAGATTTAGTTTTTACTCCTATAGGAGAAACTCTCTGGCAGTATTTCTATTCTTGGAATGATGAATATGAAGGTAACTTATTTGTTTTGATTATTTTTATTATAAATGATAACGATTAAATGTGTCATTTTCTTTTTAAATCGCTTGAATTATATCATATTTCAAGGTTTATTTTTGATTACATTGAAAAATAATTATGCTATTAAAATAACATATATATATATATATATATTTTCATTCGCAATTAAATCATATGTCTGTTTCTTAAACTAGAGGTTAAGTACTAATTAGGATATTTATTATTTTCATAAAAATGACTTACTATGATTTTTTTTCTTATTTTTTAGAATTATTTCAATACGGATATCGTAAGAAAAATGAGAATAAATAATAATCGATGCAAAACTTGCTAAGGTTATATCGTTCGAATTAATTAACATTTCGATTATTTGATCATCATTATTGTTCAATATTAAACAGTTTTTTGATGATTAACGTTGATAAAAATGATTCAACATGCAATTTAAATTGGATTTAAAATAATACAAAAAATTGTGTTTATTATTAAAAACAAGTTTCAAATTGTTTAGGAATGATGATAAATTTGTCAGTTAAAGATAAATTAAATCTGTTATTTTAATTCTATTTTGTAATGTTCAAATTTTGTTTAGTTATCTACAATTTATCTAGATAATACACTACGACACTACACGATACACTATTATGCTGTATATGAGATAAATATTGATACAAGTATTGAAACACAGTATATGAAACAAAATATTCCTATAAATACAAATTATCCTAGTGAGTGATCTAATAGAAATGAATAAAACGGTAATAGAGAGAATACAAAAAAATCATTAAAATTACAAATAATACATGGATTCCTTACTTTTTTTTTTTTCGCATTTTCATTTTCAGCTCCTGGCTTCAGGCGAAAATCATGATACTTCCTTTTTTTTTGTTTTTTTTTTGTTGTTGTTTTTTTTTTTTTTTTATAATTGCCATTGTTGGTGGCAAGGTATCTTTAACAACGATTTTTAAAAATTTAATACATATTTTTGTTTTTTGTTTTTCTTTGAAATTTTATTAATAACGCTACTTCTTATATCCATATGAATTTATAGCTGCAAACATACAAAAATAGAAACATTCATTATTATTATTATTATTATTATTATTATTAATTTATTTTAATTTATTAATTTAATTGGTATAATTTTGTAGAATTAATAGACATACATTAGATAATTAAAAAAAAAAAAATAATAATAAAATAAAGAAAACAGAAAAGAGAAACAAAATGAAATTAGGGGTTTACGTAATAAAATAGAAATTAGATTGAAATTATATTTGTCTTGTGTAATATTCATCTTTGTTAAATTCTCCTCTTCTTTTTTTTTTTCTTCTTTTTTAACGAATAAAATTACGTCACATTAGTTTGAACAATAGTTTTCTATTTATAAACTCATCTTGTAATAACGTAAAGTAAGTATTAGATTGTCAAGCATGAAATTTGTAATGAGTCATATTGTCAACTTTGTTTTTCTACAAATTTTCTATCTAATGACGTAATATATTTGTGATTATCGGTTTCATGAGAAACCTTTGATATTTATATATCAATTCATATGAAGCAACAATACCAAATTAATCAATTATCATCATTATTATTGAATTATTTAGTCAAATAATATTTCGTCAAACTTCAATACGAATGATTTATCTTGTTATTTAACGAAAAACATTAAACGAAACTATTAATTCGTAATTGTAAAATAATGAAAAATCATAATTGTACTCACCTTCGAACTCTTTGTCACACATCAATAAAAGTTGTAACCATTCACTTCCCTTAACTACAGGAATCTGTAGAGTGCCACCATAACATTCAGGTAAACATTTTGGTGTTACATATTGATGTAGAGATTTACGATCACTGCCATGAAAGATTATCTAAAATAGAAAAAAAAAAAAAAAATAAAAAATTACAAAAATAAGAACAATTTTATTAGCAATAAATTTCATTTTGACCATTGGCAAATAAATAATTGAAATAATAATAAAATATTAATGATTCAACGTAAGTTGAATAATAAAGGAAAGTGAATATTTTCAAATAATCGTTACGCCATTAATACGGTAATGAAGTTGAATATAGTATATATTACGAGTTATAATATATTTTTTGAAGTAAGTATCAAATAAATTTTATATATACGTGAATTCTTATCATTTGTCAGAGACTTCACGATTATTTTCTTTTTTTTTTTTTCACGTAACGTGAAATTCCTCGAACAACGTGTTAAATAATAAAATAATAATAAAATGCAAGAATTTAAGAATTCAATTTACTTTGATGGGTCATTAAATTGTTGTCTTAATTGCTATCGATTTCTTCTTTAGCAGAATTGTTTTTTTTTTTTTTTTTTTTTTTCAATTTTTACGACTGTGTTATCAAGAATAATTTGTAGAAGAAAAAATTTTCTCAATATTTACAAATATTGCACATATCCTTACGATTTTTTTTATTTATTTGTAAATTATTTAGCAGAAATTACAAAAAAAAAAAAAAAAAAAAAAAAAAAAAAAACAATAAAGACACATATTATACGAAAAAAATCGTTGTCAGCAGATTAACACTTTAATGGCCGTTCACACAACATGTGTGTGATAGCTTGAACAACCGTTATTTACATATAACTTTTGATATATTTAAAATGAAATTTGTTGTTGTTGGTTTCTTTTGATCTATGTCAGTTTATTCGTGAATTGAATGAAGTTTTTGAAAAAAATAAACAGATTTTTCAAAAATATTACCGGTCCTCTAGCAGCTACGTTTGACCGCGTACACGTGCGGCCATTAAAATGTTAATAACACTCCATTTTGTAACAATATATAAATATATTACTTACTCTGCTTTTTAATTTTTCTCTGAGGAAAGGCTTAAAGAGTGCAAATACCATATTGAAAATATATGGTTGATTAATAATATGCAAATTTTTAATTCTCAATGGTACAGCGTCTTGGAGTAAATCGACTAATCTTTTTGCAAATGGTGGAGTAAATTGCCACGTCTGTGGAAGTGAAAGACCGTCCATATCGAAAATAACAATTGCACCGGCAACTTGTGTTGTTGGTTCTAACATGGCCGCTTCTAAATATAGTACACAACCCTTATAGATCTCGTCGAGACTGCACTGATTGTGTTTCCATTTCTTTCCAAGTTGGATGATTAATATTCGTCTGTTGTGTTGATCTCGAGTTGGTAATACTGTCAATATGTTTTGTTGAAAAATATTCGTTTCTTTGCTGGGTTTTAAATCGTCGTATATAGAACTGTGTTTTATTTTAAATTTGTAATAATTTTTCACTAATTCAGCAGCAGATTCAGGATAATATTTACAAGGCCTAAGGAATCTAATTAACCAGGCGTCATTTTCCAAAGGACACTTTAAATCAGTTTCAGCTGGAAAAGAACAAGAAAAGATCGTAAATATATAAATTTATATTTTTATTATTTTTTATTAAGAAAACGAATGTTAAAGAACACCACTGGTATGTATGACCATCTGATAAAAAGGTCATTTTTGCGAAGTTTTTTGTAAAGAAAACTACTTCATGAAATGTGTTAATTATTTAAACCAATTAACTGTAGAACTTAGTTTTAAAAGTGTGCATCCTTGTGCGTCGTTCAAATCGACCAATGACGATTATGTTCGTCAAACAAAGACTAAATATCACTGGGGTGTCTTATACAAGAAAATACTTCAAACAATCATTCAAATCGATTTATATACCTTTCAATAATTCTCTCAATCGTTCCATGGATTCCTTCTGAAGTTCTGGTGTCTCTCTAAGTTCCTTTTTAGCGACTTCTTGCATTTCGGGACTTAGTGGTCCTAATTCAAATTCTAAAGTAAAATCTCCCAGTTTAATGAACGGGAGTTCCTTCACATTTGTAAGCATCATGTCGTCTAAAAAAAAAAAAGAAAAAAAAAAGAAATAATTCCAAATCTTAAAGAAACTTTAGTCAAGAATTATTGTACTTAAGATAAGTAACATATATTATATATATATATATATATTTTTTTTTATTTTATAATCGGATAAACTACTTAAAAACTTAACTAACAGTATTAGGGATGCAAAAATTACAATACGAATAAATTTCATTATATTATCAAGAAATTATCCTCTGATTCATGACTCCGAGGGAAATGAAATAACAATGATAACAGAGATACTCAGAAAATGCAAAACATTTCTTTGATTATTTATATATTTATATTCTAAATATAAAAATAATTCTATCTCAGGTTAAATGTCGTTACATTACCACAAATAATAAATCAAGAAAATGGAAAATTTCGTCAGATAATATAAGTGTAAATAAGTGTAAAGTTGTTGATGAATAAAAAAAAAAACAACTCTTAAAAGCAATTAAATGGAAAATATAATCGAAGTAGATGTTAAGAAAAAAAACACACAGACACACACACACACACACTATATAAGATTAACATAATAACAAATGAAATATTAGTATTGAAGAATCAAGGTTGCTAACTTTATACGACTAATAGTTACAGTAATCAAACTTTTTTTGCTTAGTCACTGTTATTTAAGACAAAAAAAAAAAAGACAAAAAAAAAAAGTCTGGCGGAAAACGTAATATGTTAATCATTATTTTATTTCTATTGAACGAAGAAATACAATGTCAAAAGATAACACTATTTTAATTTTAGCAAATTCTAAAAGCCTTATATAATTGAAGGCCAAAGACTAGTACTTTTTTAAAGATGTAAAATATGACAAAGTAAAGAAAGAAGAAAGACAAATTGTACGCTTAAAAATTGTACGCTTAAAAGTTGAACAAATATATATATATATATATTATATATACGTCATTAAATTGCAAATAAATATTTAATGAATTTAAATATAATTGATGAATATAGTTCTTCTTCCATATATATATAATTAATATATAATATATAATATATTATAATATTATAAAATAATATATATATATACAATTAATAATATATTATGTATTATACAATTAATAATATATTATATATTATAATATTATAAAATAGTATATATATTATTATATAATTAATAATATATTATATATTATATATTATATATTAAATATAATTTATATTTAAATTATATGTATTAACTTTACTATTAACTATTATATAATATATTAATTATATATATATATATATATATATATAAAGAAAACCATATTTCTTATATAGTGTTTTTTTTTTTCAATTTAGTATTTATATATAACACTAGATTTCACAGTTAGTGACATCGATAGAACAATAGGAAATAGGAAAAATGAAAAGTTTAATAACGAAATATAGGTTTATCTGAGAGAAATGAAGAAAAAATTCTAAAAAATGACTATAAATGTTGTTTCTTGTTTTGTTACAGATGAATGAATCATTAATAAAAGATCTCATTTTGTTCTATAGAAACTGTAAGTTAAATTGAGTTAAATTAAGAACAGTTTTGTCTTTATTTCGAAAGTTAACTCATTAAAGGTTCAAGAATTATTATTATTATTATTATTAGTTGGCGTTAGGAAATAGAAAGTTCATTGCCGCAAATACCAAATCCCGTCATTGTTTTCGTCCCAAAGCGCTATTCAAGGCTATTACGAAACTAAAAAATATTTAAATATATAGATACATACGTCAGAACGTTAATTAATCAAAGAAGGTACTCAAATTTTGTATTTATTAGTTCATTAAAAAGAAAAAAAAAAAAAAAAGAAAGCCATTACGAAAGTTAACTTTGTCATAATCAGATGAATAAGATACCGAATACATTTGAATAAATTACATCTCTTTTCTTTTTTTTTTCTACACTGTATTCAAGGTTAACTTCTTTTAAGCACATTTTTGGACAAGTCTTTGCTTTCTACAGTAATGTTAAGCAAGGCCTATGAAAGTAAGCAAAACTGTGCGTGAATTGCATGAAAATATACATTTAAGTAGTGAAAGGGAAATGTCGGTCAAGAAGACATTATCATCGTTTTTTTTTGTTAACCCCTTTGACCTACGTGATATCTAAGAATTTCGTGTGCCATAAGAAAGAAGAAAATCGGTTAGGCGCCCTGTGTCATTCAAGTGTTTCTATTTGCTTGTTTAAAACACCATATCCTTTACTACGAGTCTGACTCGTGGTGTTAGCTTATTGCACAAATTCTTTATCACAAGTCAGATTCATAGTGTTAGCTTATAGCACAAATTTTTTACCACGAGTCAGACACGTGGCAATAGATCAAGGAGTTAACGGATATGAACGATAAAAATAAAAAAAATTATGCCTGTAGAATTAATACAAAAAAAAAGAAACTTTTGGAATTACCTAACATTTATTTATATATA